ATATATTCACATTTGATTGAAGTTTACATAGGCTTTCTTCTATTTGCTACCTTTCACCTCTAACTTAACCAGCAGTACTTTAAATTCTATGCTCCTGTGGCATATCTTGTAAATAGTACTGAATTCTGCAATATATTTCTATTACACAATCATATACACAAGTACTACCGATCCCATATCTAGCACTATTTCATTTCAGTCTAGAGTAAGAGCTGTAAGAGCTTCCTGGAATAAATAATTGCTGACAATAGACATGATGGTTCTTCTGTGGTGGAAAGGTTTGAGTCTAAGTACGCCGGCTGTCCCTGGGATAGTACTCTGCCAGGATGTTGGTGGGAATGCGTTTCAACATCTCCTTAGGGAAGATCCGTAGCAGTGACCAGCCGATGTCTAGGGACTCGAAGATGGTTCGGTTCTCATAGGGACCTGGGAACAGATCAGAACAGTGATTAGTTTTCTACTTGGAGGCTAAACCTTCCAAATCCCTTTGGAGAGATTGTCAGCACTGGGTTGGCTGGTCCAAAGTAAGACTGATACTTACCATTTCACACTGTTATACACCAGTAGCATATACAGTCAAACCTGTACTAGCGGTCACCTTTGTATAGTGGTCACTCGGCCATAGCGGTCAGTTTTTGCCGGTCCCTTGAATTTTTCCCATTGACGTAAGCATTAAGAATCGTGTCTATAGCGGTCACTGTTCAACGCGGTCAGCGGTCACCCCATTCCGGTCCCGCCGGCATGTCAACACCGCCGATAGCGGTCGCGGCTGGCCGTAACCCGCTAAGCACCACGGCCGTAACACCACCCCACCTCGGGCTACGACCGTTATGAGCCTTGTGATAATTTTCCGATCGCTACATTACTAAAATGTGAACTGAAAATTAAACTCCATATGTGTATGAAATAAAGGAAAACGGGCTTTTGACACGAAGTTTCTGCGGTCGCGGGTGTCTTTGATATCTGCGTTTTCCCCAACACCAGAGCCGTGCGTGCCGCATGGAGCTTTCAATGGACTCGGCCGCTCGGCGAAGATTACGGCAATTATCTTTACAAAAAAACTTAAGAATATCCATATTTGGTTTCTCGATTCCTTGAAATGCGTAGATATGTGCATAGCTTCCGTTTTTCATGAGCATAATTCAAGAAATTTGGCTCGAAAATGCGTTTCGTATTTTTCCAAGATGGCGCATGTTATCTGCAGAGGGAGGTCAATTGGGGTCATCGGAAGACTACACTGTTATGGAGGTAGATACACCGAGTTTTATTTAACTTTATTAGCGTCAAATGATGTAATTACATTATGAAAACATTTGAAATACATTACTAAAAGTAATTTTAAATGTAAATTTAACACTGTAGTGGATATTTTAGAAAAGATATAAGTCTGAAAGGAGAAAATTTTCTGTTGACTACCACATTGGCATAATGGTAGAGACAACCCACGCGGGGAGAAACCCAAGCCGTAAACAAAGGAGAGTTTTCGCTAAGTTTTCATGTTCAAAAACGACCAAAAACGGAAAGTAACTGGCAACTGACGAACTATTATTTTGCTGTTAACTAAATAGACAGTAACTTGGTACAAAATAACTTATTTACGTGGTTGGAATTCGCTGTGGCGTATGTCGGTCGCGCGAAGCAAGTGTTCACCAAAGAGCAAAAACATGGCGATGTCGTTCTCTTCCACTCTTCGACTAACAACAACAACAAGTACTAGTAACGTGGCGATTGCGGAGAAACGATGGCGAAAGCGGAAAGACAGACGCCGAACTTATTCCAAAAGGTGGAAGTGATCCGACTGGCAGAGAGAGGGAGAAGAAATCGTCGAAAGCTGAGCTTAGATTAAATGATTTTGCAGTCGATAGAAATTTGTTTGGAGTTGAAAGTTTGTTGCTTGATTTGCTTTCTTTTCTTTAGCCACATGTAGTACTAGTATGTACACAAGAACAGTAAATGACAACCAGTGATTTTGTATGTTTTAAATTATGTGAATGGTTTCATTGTCCCAGAATAGATGAACTGAATATGTTGAGTGTATGCATCTTTGATGTCAAGTTAATGTTTCCATGCAATATTTCTGTATTTCTTTTTTTTTCTAAGTCAAGTACAAAATGAAGT